AGTTCAGAGATGAGGTCAGGAGACAGAGAAAGAAATTTGAAAGCTGTCCATATATAAATGACATTTAAAGTCACAGGACTAGAAAAAAGCTTAAAGGTGCAAGGGGAAGGAAAGATGGAAAAAAAGGAAGGACTGAATTCTGGGATGGCCCAATGTAAACTTGGGAGGAGATGGAGGTAAAATGAAAGTCACTAAGAAGCAGCAGACAGTTGAAAAGATGCTTTAAAAAATGATGGTTCACTTATACTAAATTCTGTTGATAATTTGGATGAAGTTTGAAAATACCATTGGATTTAGAAATGTGGAAGCCAATGGTGACTTTGAAAAATATTTCTTTCTGGAGAGAGCCTTGTTGGGTAGTCCAGGCTGGCCTAGAACATACAGTCAGTCCACCTGCCTCATCCTCCCTAGTACTTGGATGGCAAGCATGCACCACCACACCCAATTTGAAGGATATTTTCACTAGAGTGGTAGACAAATTGCTAATGTGTAAGCAAGACAGAGCATGAGAAGGAGCCGTGAGTACAGGGAACTCAGAATTTTTAAATGTTTTAAAACTCAGAATGTTTTAAATGGAAGCAAACAAATTTAGTAGTAACTGAAAGAGTTATGTCAGGTAAGCTGAGGTGTTTTGTATTTGGCTGGCTCTTGTTTTCTTGTTGTTATTTTCTTTTTCCAAGACAGGTTTCTCTGTGTAGTCCTGGCTGTCCTGGAATTCATTCTGTAGACAAGGCTGTCCTCAAACTCTTGAGATCTGTCTGTCCTCTGCCTCCTAAATACTAGGACTAATGGTGGTCACCATCTAAAGAGAAGTATTGAAACAATGTCTTTGAGGAGACAGGCGGGAACTCACTTTAGCTACAGGATGGGAAAGGATAAGATGGGAAAACAGACAGTTCCTCCACAGTAGTGGGATTGAATAGGCACAAGCAGGTATGCAGACATGATGGTTGGAAGGTCCCTTTGGTCTGCTTTTTTTCAGACATACAGAAAGCCTTGTCATCAAATAATAGTGATGAGGAAATACATACAGAAATATGAAGATGGCTATCCAAGCAGTGCTTTCCTCTTACTTAAAAATTATTTTTATTTTTACGTATATGGGTGTTTCATCTGCATGCATGTTTGTGCACACGTGCACGCACTGCCTCAGCCTCAAGAGAGCATCAGATCACTGGTCCTGAAGTTACAGATGACTATGAGCTGCTATGTAGGTGCTAGTAATTTAACCCAGCCCCTATGGAAAAGCAACCAGTGTTCTCAATCACTGAGCCATCTCTTCAGTCCTGTGTTCATTCTTAGTCTTTTTATACCATTATCCCTACTTATTTATCCATTTTTCCATTCATTCATTCATTATGTACTGTGATTAAACTCCCAGCCTTAAATGCCCTAGGCAAACACCCTGAGGTACACTACCTATCCACACTCTACTTTAAATTCTGAGCCCAACTTTAGTTCCATTTTCCTCATTCCCAAACCTTATTCCTGCTCCATAAACCAAAATCCATCTCTTTATGATCAGTTTTTAATCTCTCAGCCTCTTCCTCCTTAAATATCTCTGCTAATCTGGAAAGGTGATTAAAATTTACCCCGTAAAATCTGATTTAACAATTGCCTAAGATAGAGTTTCTATTGCTGTGATGAAACACCATGACCAAAAGCAAGTTGGGGAGGAAAGGGTTTATTTGGCTAACACTGTCACAACACAGTTTATCATCAAAGGAAGTTAGGACAGGAACACAAGCCATGCAGAAACCTGGAAGCAGGAGCTGATGCAGAGGCCACGGAGGAGTGCTGCTTACTGGATTGCTCCTCATGGCTTGCTTGGCCTGCTTTCTTATGGAACCTAGGACCACCAGCCCAAGCGTGGCCCCTCCACAATTGGCTAGGCTCTCCCTCATCAATCACTAATTAAGAAAATGCTCCATAGGCTTGCCTACAGCCAGATCTTATGGAGGTATTTTCTCAATTGAGGCTCCCTGTTGACTCCAGTGTGTGTCAAGCTGACAGAAAACAAATCGGATTCCAGATGTCCCTCAGATTCCAGATATCCCTCCAGAGCACATTTATCACTTCACATGGAATTCACCACACTGCCAGCATGTGTGACAAGTTAGAGATTCAGGCTTCTCCTTTGATACATGCTACTTCTGTCAGTGTTCTGTAACTCCACAGAGATAAAGCCACAGGCCACTGTTAACATATGCCCAAACTGCAATGGTGGCTTGAATGAGAATGGCTCCCACAGGCTCACAGATTTGAATGCCTGGTCACCAGGGAGAGGCACTATTAGGAGATATGGCCTTATTGGAATAAGCGTGGCCTTACTGGAGAAGTGTGTCACTGGGGTTGGGCTTTGGGGTTTCAAATGCTAACGCCAGGCCCAGTGGCCCTATCTTCCTGCTGCCTGAGGATCTGGATGTAGAGCTCTCAGCTGCCACGCCAGCATCACGTCTGCCTGAGTGCCACCATGTTCCCCACAGTGGCAATAACAGACTAAACCCCTGAACCTGTAAGCCAACCCCAATTACATGTTTGCTTTTATAAGAGCTACTGTGGTCATGGTGTCTCTTCACAACAACAGAACATTGACTAAGACATCAATCTTGAATTTATAGACTGAAACTAAAAGACCTGAAAGTATTCTAATGATATTCAATGGCCCAATGTTATTTATCATCATTCTATTAAATTCAGATCAGACAAGTCAAATCACCTGTTTCAGCAAACCAAACTTAAACAAACAAAAAACTTGTGTGAGGACTAAAGAAACAGAAATCAATATAACTTCTCCTAAGGAAAGCAAAGTTGTGTTAACACAAGAAAACCAAATAAAAATGTTTTTATGGCAAGAGCATAAGTTTGAAGCCAATGAAAATGCCGTGGCAAGGCCCTGGCCCAAAACACCAAAGAGCAGAGAAACAAAAATTAAAAAAAAAAAAAAACAAAGAACAAAGAATAATCATAGATGCAGAAAAAACATCGGGGAAAACCAAACAATTCCAGGGTAACAATTCCCAATAAGCTAGTAATAAAAGGGAACTAACTTCATCAAACCTGATAGATGCTATAAAGACTAAAAATTCTTTGCTCTTAAAGTGGACAAGAATGTCCACTTTGCTATTTCTGTACAATTTTGTGCAGGATGTTCTAACCATGATAATAAGACAAGAAAAAGAAACAAATGGCTGAACTGGAAAGAAGTAAAATTCTATTTTAAGATGACAAGATCCAACATATAAAACATTCTGGGCTGGGACTGGAGAGATGGCTCAGTGGATAAAAGTGTTTGGTGAACTAGCCTGACAATCAGAGTTTATCCTTGGATCCCACAGTGGAAGGAGGAAACCAACTTCCAAAATTGTCATCTGACCTCCATAGCCAGTCAGCCAGCCTGCCTGCCTTCCTTTCTCCTTCTTCCTCTCCCCCTTCCCCTTCTCTCTCTCACGCACACACCACAAACTAATAATTAATTAAAATATAAAAAATAGCATTCTGTCTGAGTATGTAGTGCAGTTGCCAGCGCTTGCTCAGCACTCACATGGCCCTGGGTTATGTCCCTAGCACTTCATAGCCTGGGTGTGGCAGTGCATGCCTACACTTTCAACACAGGAGAGAACCCCAGAGTTCAAGGCCATTCCTGATTACATACCAGGTTTGATGGAAGCCTGACTTCCATAAGACCCCATCTCAAAGTGGGGAAAGAAAGACAATTTCATTTACAATAACATCAAAAATAGGAACAAATTTAACCTACATACAGTTTTTGTCCTTTGTAAATATAAAGCACAGGTGAGCAAAATTAAAGACATACACATATGAGATCTCATCTCATATTCATGGGTCAGATGGCAACAGTTCCCAAATCAATCAACCATTTAGTTTGCTCCCTATCAGAATTCAGCTGCTCTTCTGTGTTTTTTGTCTTGTTTTTGGTAGGAAAGTGACCTTAAAACTCATCTGAAAATGCATGGACTCAGAAGGGTAACTTATCTTAAAAAAAGAACAAAGATGAAAAAAGACTCACAGTTGCCAGCTTCAAAGTTATAGTATGCCAGAATACTGTATGTGTGTAAGGACAGACATATAGATAAACCAGATAGCAACTCTAAATATAAAAGCAACACTTTTAAGACTTAGAACATATAAGATAAACACTTGTGACCTCGTATTAAGTAATGGCTTTTCAGACCTTAGCAAAAGCACAAATCATAATAGTATATAAATACTGCATCTTATTAAATTCAAGCCTTATGCTACAAGCTACAGAAACCATTAATAAAGTGAAAAGAAGCAGGGCATGGTGGCACACACCTTTAATTCTAGCACTTGGGAGGTAGAGGAAGGAGGATCTCTGTGAGTTCAAGGCCAGCCTGGTCTACAAAATAAGTTTCAGGACAACTAGAGCTACAGTGAGACCCTGCCTCAAATCACACACACACACACACACACACACACACACACACACACACACACACACACCACACACACACACGTACACATGCACACAGAGGGAAAAGGTAATCCTTAGAGTGGGAGAAAATACAAATGCTAGAGCTGGTAAAGGACGCACATGTGGATACATTAGAAACTAATTCTTCTAATTCCGTAATAAAAAAACAACTCAATTATGAAGCTGGCAAAGTATCTGACAAACATCTTCATAAGATAGACCCAAATGGCCAACAGGCACATGAAAAAAAAAGATCACTATCAAGTGCTATGAGGAAATTAAAACCACAATGTAATAGCACATCACAGCCACCTGTCGAAGAGGCAAGTGCTGGTGAAGGACATTCAACCTTTACACATCTTGGGGGTGAAAAACAATACAACTTCTTTGGAAAACAGTTTTAGTTTCTCAAAAGGTTAAGCACAAAGCTACCATGTGACTCAGGAATTTTACTCCTAGATATAAGCCAAAAGAAATGAAAATGTGTTCCTACAGAATCCTGAGAACAATTGCTTGCAGCAGTAAAAACAGAAATGTCTACCAGTTGCTGAATAGATAACATGGTTTTATTATTACTATCAATACTATTCAACAATGAAAGGAAGTAAAGCATTAATGAATCTAACAACACAGATTGAGTCTTGACATCAGGCTGGCTGAAAAAGTTCAGTTGTGAAAAAGCTCATATTGTATATTCCATTTATAAGAGAAATGACAAATAGGTTAATATACACATAGAATAAATTAATGGTTATCTAGGGTTGGAAAGGGATTTTTGAAGTGGGAAGACTCAAGAGTGACTGCCATTATAGATCCCTGGTGTTTTATTGTTAACATTTTTAATCAGTAACCATCATGTAAGAGTTGGCTGACATGGAGCAGCTAGCGTGAGGCCAGGAAGCCTTCATTGTGCTGTGTTCCCTAGAGAGCAGTATGTCAGGATGGCTAAACGTGAGCCCCAAAGGACCAAAGGGGTTATGACTGCTTATGCCCTCTCTGTGTTGACAGGCAGAAAAGACCACAAGAAGAAAAGCCAGATGTTCTCAATATTGCAGGATTTCCTAAACACTCTGAGAAATGGAGACAATGCCTGCAGAGAAATCTAAAACTGATGAAATGGCAAAGTTGGACAAAACATGCTACATTTGGGAATGAAGGGCTGTGGACCAGCTTGCAGGTAGCCTGAAGGAAAAGGGCATTACTGCTATCCACAGGCAACGTCTGCATTCTTGTTTTATTCAGAATTCTGACCTAAGATCGAAGCTACAGATCCTGGAATCTATTGTAGATGTGGTTAAAAAACAGCAACAGTTGAGTGAGATGTTAAACAGCTTAAGTTACAGAGAAAAGCAGTCATGCATCAGCAAGGTGGTGATGCAGACGGAGAAATATGAGAAGGATGTCCTAAATAAAACTCAAAGGGAACGGCTCATGGTAAAAAGGTCTCACTAAATTTGTTTACAGAAAGGTGGAAGAAGATGAGGAGCAGCAGCAGGAAGAAGGAGGAAAAGCAACTATTTTATTTGGCTTAATTGTTTTTGGAGATAGTTTCATGTAGCCCAGCTAGCCTTAAACTCCTGATCCCCCTGCATGAGCCTCTCCATGGTACTGGGATTATAGGCAGGTACCACCATGCTTAGCTGAATGTTTATCTGTCTCCCTGCAAATACCACGGAGAGAGGGGAGCCATGATTCACACATCTTATTTGAGCTGTCTACTCTCCTCATTGGGTTTAATTTACAATCTGACCACCATCACCCCACAGCTTCTCAAAGTCTTTGGTTTACTTAAAGTGAACACATGTCCTGAAACTGTATCAAAGTTGTACATGTTTCCAAACATTTTAGAAAGAAAAGGTGCTCTTGTGTTCTCCTATCTCTGCAATTTGCTATTGGTATGACAGGGTATTTGAAGCAGTGAGTGAGGTGACATTAGCATGGTTATTGGCTGAAAACCCTGAGCTGAAAACTGTTCGTATCTGTAGTTTATAAAGTAAACGAACACAAACTTGATGCTCCTTGGGTGGCACGGGGAAGATGCCTTTTGGAAGGGCTGTAGTTGAGGGTGTGCACTGTGAGGCAACTGTGGACACTGACGGCTTCCAATAGCTTGAGGCTGTCTTGTGGTTTTCTGTGACACGGCATCCTGCTGATATTCTTTGGCTGTGAAACAGAAAAGCTAACATGAGAAGTGTTTGGGTTTTTAAGTTATGTGCAGTAGATATACATTAGTTTTTAGACAAAGTTCAGAATTCTTCATTGTCAGCAAAGAAACACTGAATTAATACAACATCAAGAGCCTTCTGTACCTAGGTACAATTTTTCTATGTTTAGAATGCTACAATGTTTTTGAAGCTAAACAAATTACATATTAAAAAAGTCACATCAACTAGGGGCTGGAGAGATGGCTCAGTGGTTAAGAGAACATACTGTTCTTTCAGAGGACCTGAGTTCAATTCCCAGCACCCACATCAGACAGCTCACAACTGCCTGCAACTCCAGGTGAGCTGACACCCCTCTGACCCACCCCTGACAAATAAGTAATAATTAAAATTTTAAGAAATGAAATGATTTTAAAAAGATTTTTTAAAAGTCACATATACTAAACTTTAGCATTGTAAACATTTTAAGTGTACAGTTCAGCAGTTAAGTATATTCACACTTTGTTAAACAGACTTCTAGGACATTTTCATCCAGCAAAAGTAAAACTCTGTTAAATGACAATCCTCATGTCCTCTTAACCAGCTCCCAGTAGGTACTATTTTACTGTTTCTGGAAATCTGACTACTTTCTGGAGCTCACAAGATTAGTACTGTAATACCCGTCTTTTGGTGACTGCTTTATTTCATTAGCATAGTGCTGCAACATGTGAGAGGAATCCTTCTGAAGCTTGAAAACCCTTCTGCTGCAAGTATACATATACTTTTAATCCCTCCATTCATCCACAGACACACAGGCTGTTCTGAGTACTGTTACTACCAACAGTGTGCAAGCCTCTGGTACAGATCTTACTTTTAAGTCCTTCATATACATACAAGTAGAACTGCTTGATCATGGAGTCTTCTTTGATAATAGTTGTGAATGTACTAAAAGCTGCTGAATGATATATTTTAAGTTGGTGTATCTAAATAGAACGATTAAAATATAATTCTTAAAGACCAAGTAAAATATATATTTACTTTAAGGACTTTGACTAAACTAGATAATTAATGTAAATAACTTGTCATTCATGTAACTTGGATTCTTTTTCAACAGCCTGGTTAAGAGTGTAGGTCTTTGTTTTGTTTTGTGAGATAGCCTAAATGCTGGTTTTTAAATTTTTATTTATTTTTAATTCATGTGCATTGATGTTTTGCTTGCAAGTATAAATGTGTGAAGGTGCTGGATTCCCTGGAATTTGAGTTACAAACCCTGGAGAACTACCATGTGGGTGCTGGGAATTGAACCTGGGTCCTCTAGAAGAACACCCAATGTTCTTGACCACTGGGCCACCTTTCCAGCCCACTAAGTGCTGTTTTTAATCATTTAAAATTTTGCATTAAGAAATAATGGGAAGAAATTAACAAATTCATAATAACTATTTCATTTGTTCCAGGTATGTCATTAAGCAGATTTAAAAAAAATAGAAATATGAAGCAGAACTTTACTTCTTTGACCTCATATATACCCTTTGAAATTTAATCATCAGTAATTGTGGGTGGGGCAGAGGCAGGAGGATCTCTTAAGTTCAAGGACAGCCTGGTCTACAGAGTGAGTTAGAGGACAGCTAGGACTGTTACACAAACAAACCCTATCTCAAAAAAAAAGGAAAAAATTATGATAATTATTTCATATAAAAGATCTTCAAAAGTTAAGGTTTGAGTTTTGGGCAGTAAAAAAATTATATAATAATAAATCAGGGTTTGGAAGATAGCTTAGCAGTTAGAAACATTAGCTATTCTGCCACAGGACCCAGGATCCATATTCCCATCTGTAACTGCTATCTCTGGGGATCTGATGCTTTCTTCTGGTCTCCAAGAGCAATGTACACGTACACACACACACACACACACACACACACACACCACACACATATAGTGCCCAGACAGAAATTCAAGCAAACACTCATATAAAATAAAATATAAAATCTCAAAAAAATTAGAATAAAAACAAAATTAAAAAATCCTATCTCCAATGTCACTGATGGAGAAAAGGGCAATAGTTTAAAAAGTATGAGAAACAGGAGGAAATAAAAATTTTAAAGTACACCAAATTCAAATTCTTCTCCTCTCTCATTATACAAAACTAGAAAAGCTAATGGTAGTAGAAATGGGTGTCAGCACTCAAAAGCCTATTTCTTGCTGCCACATCAAGATACTTTCAATACTGTCAGGATTCAAAGGCACAATTTCAGACGGAGGATAGTAAGGTAACCTCAAAGATTTCTCATGAGTTTCTCCAATAAGATGAGAAAGCTAAAAGGACATTTTTTTAAAAAGCCAGCCAAAATGGAGAAACCTTACTTTTCTAATCACTTTAAAAATAACAGCTTCCACTAAGAGGCAAGTTTGGCATTCAACTTTCTCTGTTGGGCCAAGGCAGATATCTAGTTTGATAGTTATTTATGTGTGACTGTTTTCCTTCCAGATAATACATCTTATACACTTTAGCATCTATTCTCAATAATTTCTTTGTGGTTGATTTTAAAGGAAGGTGGAAATATTACCAGTCATTGGCATTGTTTTCAGACTCCTACTGAAGACTTTTTTTTGAAGTCCGTCTATGTACAGAAGCAAAGTTACGAATGGCATTTCGAAGAGTTGCGTTCCCCTCGGAGATGTCAGAAGAATTGATGACTGAATGTAAGGCCCGGTTATATGCTGCAAATGAAGGTTTGCACAATAATGAATAAAGTCAGGTTCTGTACAACTCTCCCGCTTCATTTCCTATCAGTACTGCCTCGTTACCCAATGCCACAGGTACTAAGTCTAGCCACTGAATAAATATTTATTAGATCCTTATAACAGAGCAAGAACTCCATAAGGAAAGAAAAGAGAACAAGAAAATGGTAGCAAAACTAAAGTTGCAGTGAAGTACTTCCACAGCACAGGCATATACAAAATGTCATCATAGTAGGGGATGGATACGAATGAAGAGCTAGGGAACACTGGGCGGATTGGAGAAGCTGTGCCATTTAAAGTGGGCTTTAGGCACTGACAGGAGGACAGAAAAAAGGTGCTACAGGTAGAAAACCAAGTGGATGAGATGCAAAACGTATAAGCAAGTTTGGTGAGGCTGTAGTGTGGCCTGAGACCAGTATATGAAAATGCCATGCATTTCATTCTGTCATGAGGAAAAGTTTTAAAGTAAGGGAATGGGAAGATCTGTAAATTCATACCACAGAGATGAAACACATCAAAATGTAAATACTGGCAACATTTTCAGTGTTTATGTGAGGAGGACAGAATTCCTATGTTCTATAAGGCAATATTTAGTGATGGACAACACACATTAGCAGCCACAAGTAAGATTATATTCTTAGCCGGGTGTTGGTGGCGCACGCCTTTAATCCCAGCACTCGGGAGGCAGAGGCAGGAGGATCTCTGTGAGTTCGAGGCCAGCCTGGTCTACAGAGCAAGTTCCAGGACAGCCTCCAAAGCAATACAGAGAAACCTTGTCTCAAAAAAAAAAAAGAAAAAAAAAAGATTATATTCTTTTTGATTAGGATTCTTTTTTTTTTTTAACAGGGTTTGCCTGTGTAACAGTCCTGGAACTAGCTTTGTAGACCAGGTTAGCCTCAAACCTACAGGAACCTGCCTGCCTCTACCTCCCAAGTGCGGGGATTAAAGGTGTGTGGCACCAATGCCCGGCTACGTGGGACTCTTGATAGAGCTCCTCACCTTTCTTGGAGTCACCAGCAGAATAGACAATCTAATATGGATTTATGCTTACAAGTTTGTATTAGACACCATTAAAGTATGTGAATAACAGACTCCTAATTTATCCATAAAGGACAAACTTTTTTCTTCTAGATTTTTAAAATTTAAATTAGAAACAACCTTATTTTACATGTTAATCCAAGTTCTCTCTCCCTCCCCTCCTCCCCTGCCCCCTACTAGCTCCTTATCCCATCCCATTTCTGCTCCCCAGGGAGGATGAGGCCTTCCATGGGGGACCATCAAAGGCTGTCAAATCATTTGGAACATGGCCTAGGCCCTACCCCGTGTGTCTAGGCTGAGAGAGTGTCCCACTATGTGGAGTGGGCTCCCAAAGAAAGGACAAACTCTTAGCAGTGTTCAAGTAAGAGAAGATCTGAGGGCCGGGCATTGGTATCACATGCCTTTAATCCCAACACTCAGGAGGCAGAGACAGGCAGATCTCTGTGAGTTCGAGGTCAGCCTGGTCTACAGAGCGAGTTCCAGGACAGCCTCCAAAGCCCCAGAGAAACCCTGTATCAAAAAACCAAACCAAAAAAAAAAAAAAAAAAAAAAAAAAAAGAGAAGATCTGGAACCCAAGTCCTTTTATATACAATGTAATGTAATGAGCTGGAAATACTTCTCCACCATAAACAGGACTAATCAGAAATGGAACTATAACAATTCTTATTGCCTCACATAGTTGTTTTATAAAGGTGTATATATAACATTCATATACTATATATATAGTAGGTTCTCAAATTCTAAATAACCACAATAATCATCAACACAGACATACACGCAGTTTTTTAAACTGCTATTAGAACTCAACTATTCCTTAAGAAACTTACCTCTGTAGTTTTTATAGAAAATGCAATTGTTGGCACAGGTATCAGGATGAGCATCCCAAAAATTAGGACCACAACAGCATAATGGAGGTAAAGTGATATTATAAAGCTTCATTTTCTCCTGGACCTGGGCTCGTAAAGCTTCTACATATCTACAAAAGTACAGTGCGGTCAGGTAAATCAACTACTAGGAGAATAAGCATGAATCCTGATTTTATACCCAGCTTTCACTGCTCTGTACCTAGAGTCTACCTATGCAGTGGGAAATAGCACCAGGAAAATGCAGTATCAGTCCAAGAGGAACTAGCCAGTCAAAACAGTGAGAGAGTATGCACCCTAAATGATCCTCCTGCTTTTGCCTCCAGAGCGAGTGCTGGGATTAAAGGCATGCACCACCACTGCCCAGCTAAACAAAGTCTCCTAAGGAATATGAGAAAGCCTACTTTCTGCTTCTTCTAGAGCCAGAACTTCATGCAGAATGTTTAAAATCAATCACCTTACATATTCTTTTTCTCTCTGGTGCTGTTTATCTTTTGCTCCTTTTATTTCTTCAAGCTGTAACTGGGCTAAAACATCGTTTATCTTCTCTTCTGAATAAGGCTCTTCATGACAGTGCATCCTTAGGAGCCTCTGCTCTTCAGCATAGCGCTGCTGCTCTTTCCTTTTCTTAATTCTGAAAATGAAACAAAACACACTTAAGAGTTTTCTAAAAATGTTACTTAAAATTAGCTTCCTGTTCCAAATAACTCAAGAAATTCCCTCAACGAATTCTAAATTCTAAGACTGCATCACAGCTAATAATTTAGACTTCAACAAACCTATCTTTAAAGGTGAGATGAACTCTCTATTTGAATTATAAAATAGCTAAAGATCCTTGGAATCACAAAATAAGTTTAGCAATCCATGGGCTTATTTTGTTTGTTTCTCAAGCTCTGGCTGTCCTGGAACTCAAAGAGATCCATCCACCTGCCTCTGCCTCCCTAGTGCTGGGATTAAAGGCATGGCTAGCCCCCAAAACCAAGAGCATTTTAAAAAGTGTTTGTGCTAGCTGACTTGGGTTTATCTACTTTTTCTTCTTTTTTTAAAAATGTGGATTGGTGTTTTGCTTGCATGTATGTCTGTGTGAGGCTGTCAGATCCCCTGAAACTGGAGTTACAGACATCTGTGAACTGCCATATGGGTGCTAGGAATTGAACCTAGGTCCTTTAGAAGAGCAGTCAGTGCTCTTAGCCTCTGAGCCATCTCTCCAGTTCCTGAATTCATCTTCAAATCTATATAAATCACCTCTCAAAGGAAAATAAGAAATGACTAGGAAGGCATTTTCTGTAAGAATCCCAGCACAAGAACAGGTTCAGGTTAAAACTACTGGTAGGCAATGTTAACAGGGATCAGATTTGTCCTCACACCAAAGAAACTTAAAAAGCAAATATGATAAAATACAAGAAATAACAATTTTCAAGACACTGACATCAACCAGCAAAACACAGTAGTCCCTAAAAAACGACAAACAAAAAAGCAATCCCTATTACTGCCAACTTCCAAAGTTTCTAGTAATGGCACAAAGGAGAATTCAAATGGAACTTGGTAGATTCAAGGAAACACATTTATAATAGCAATACATTTACCAATCAAAAGGTAAAAGATAAATCACATGTTAAATATTGTCTTAGGGTTTCTATTGTGATAAACACCATAACCAAAAGCAACTTGGGGTGGAAAGGGCCATTTTCCCCTTATAACTCGAAAAGTCACAACCCATCAATGAGGGCAGTAAGGGCAGTAACTCAAGGCAGGGACCTAGAGGCAGGGATAGAAGCAGAAGCCATGGAGGAAGGCTACTTATTGCCTTTCATCTCCTGGCTTGCTCAGACTGCCTTCTTCAGCAATTCAGGCCCACCTGTCCAAAGGTAACACGGTCGACCCACAGTGAGCTGGGCCCTCCCACATCCACCATTAATCAAGAAAATATGCCAAAGACTTGCCTACAGGCCAATATTACAGAGGCATTTTCTTAATTAAGATTCCCTTTCCGGAGATATGCCTAGGTCTGTGCTACACAGAAGAAACAACAACAACAACAAACCCAACCATTACAGATACCCAACCAAAGATTGCCAAGTGTGATGGTTTGAAGGAGAATGGCCCCACAGGGTCAGAGTTGAATGGTTGGTCACTAGGGAGTAGGTTTTGAGTTTTCAAAAACCCTAAGCCTGGCATGGCGGTGCACACCTTCAATCCCAGTACCTGGGAAACAAGCAGGCAGATCTTTTCATTTGAGGCCAGCCTGAACTACAGAGTGAGTTCCAGGACAGCCAGGGACATGCAGAGAAACCCTGTCTTTAAAAAACAAAATAAATGTGTTTTCAAGTCCATGCTAAGTCCAGAGTCAGATAGACTATCAGTCAGCCAGCCAGTCCCGCCCTCCCCCCAGCCTATGGACCAAGATGTAGAACTCTCAGCTACTGCTCCAGTGCCTACCTGCACGCTGCCATGCTCCCCACCATGGTGATGATGAACTAACCTTCCTCTGAGGCTGTAAAAGCCCCAGTGAAATGCTTTCTTTTATAAGAGTTGTATGGTCATGGTGTCTCTTCACAGCAATAAAGCAGTGACTAAGACACCAAGTATGTAAAGAGGTAGGGAAGCAACTCAAAATAAACAGAGTAATTAATCAGGATCAACAACTGGACTGTTGTGTTAAAATTACAGAGGGCATTCACATAGTTATTACAGTCATATCCTATACGTGCAAAACTACAGATCTCCTGGGCATGGTGGCATATATTTACCTCAGCATTCAAGAGGCTGAAGCAGGCAGATCATCCCAAGTGTGAGGCCAGCCTGATCTACATAGTGAGTTCCAGATCAGTCAACACTACATAGTGAGACCCTGTGTTGAACAACAAGAAATAACATGAAAAAGACTGAAATAAAACTTCCAGGGATGAAAGCTGTAATTTCATGGTAATGCATGTCTATAACCCTGGCTACTTGAGAAGCCAAGAAATAAGGATCACAAGTTCAAGTCCACCTTGAGAAAATAGAAAAACTTCGCCTGAAAACAAAGAAGAAAAAAATATGAGAAATTAAAATCCTTGTGTGATTGTTAAAGGAATTCAAAATGGCATGCCACTATGGAAAATGATTTGAAGTCTTGAGAAAGTAAAAGCATGGGCTGGGAAGATGGGGTAAGAACACTTGCTTTTCTTCCAGGCGACCCATGGTCCACTCCTAGCACCCGCATGGTGGCTAACAACCGTTTGTTACTCCAGTCCAAGAGAATCTGACATTCTCTTCTGGCTTCCCTGGGCATAGTGTGCATATGGTTCACATACATACATGGAGACAAAACATCTGAATATATTAAATGAATAAATAAAAATGAAAAAATATTTTTTAAAAAGGTACATTATACCTGAGTAGTTAAAAGGAAGCATATTTAAGTGGTATGTATGTATATATCAGGTATAGATCATATACATGTGTATATGATATCAGTCAGTGTATACTTCAGAGCAAAGAAAAAAAATGGAGACAGATCCAGAACCACCCCCTCCCCGCCCCTGCTTTTTTATGAGACAGTGTTTCATTACGTAGGTCTGGCTGGCCTGGAACTCACAATATAGGTCAAACTGGCCTTGAATTTATATAGTTCCACCTGCCTCTGCCTCCTGAGTGCTATTAAAGCTGCTGGTATTATATACCACATTTGGCCCATATCCCAAATATTTTTAAACCCAAAAGGAGACATTAAAAAGTATGTAGGACTTAGACTATAGTTCAATGGTGGAGGGTTTGCTTAGTATGCATGAGATCTTGGGGATAAATTCACAGTACTATACACAAAAAGTGCATTTGGGGTCTGGAGAGATGGCTCAGCAGTTAAGAACACTGGCTCCTCTCTAGGGGACCTGATTTTAATTTCAGCACCCATACGGTTCACAAACATCTGTAACTCCAGTTCCAGTGTTCTGGCCTCCTCAGGCACCAAAATGTATGTGGTACACAACATTAATGCAGCAGAACCTTATACATATAAAATATTTTTAAAATTATATCTTTATTTGTATCTTATATATACAAATATATATGAATATGCACACATATATAAGGTAATAACTGACAGAACTCTAAGGAAATATTAAAAAATTGAAATACACATAAAAATTTCAATGTTCCTTCCTCAATTACTGATGCAGTAAGTAGACAGAATAATAGAATGATACAGTAGACTCTATGAACCAACTTAACCTAATTATATTTAAAGAATAAGATTTTAATAATAACATATTTTCCTACTTACAAAGCTTTTGAACTTGAAAGTTTTGCCAAGATAGACAATACCCTAGACTAGTGGTTCTCACGACCCCTTTGGAGATCGAATGACTCTTTCATAGGGGTCACGTAAGACCATTGGAAAACATAGGTATTTACATAACAATTCACAGCAGTAACAAAATTACAGTTATGAAGTAGCAATGAAAATAATTTTATGGTTGGGGTCACCACCACATGAGGAACAGTATTAAAAGATCTCAGCATTAGGAAGGTTGAGGGTCACTGCCTTAGGGTATAAAACCAATGTCAATAAATTCGAAAGGATTCAAGTAATGTACAGCATATTTTCTCTGACCATAACAGATAAATTAAAAACAACAAATTTGCCCCCATCCCCCTTGATCTTCAGGGGCGCTCCTGGCATCCAGAAGACCCGCCCACACAGGAAAGACATCAACCCCTCCAAGACCCCAACCCCAGCGAGTCCAGCTTCAGGTGAGATTGGGTCTCCGGCGGGGACCGCCCGCCCATCCCCCATCCCCCCTTGATCTTCGGGGGCGCTCCTGGCATCCAGAAGACCCGCCCACACAGGAAAGACAGCAGCCCCTCCAAGACCCCAACCCCAGCGAGTCCAGCTTCAGGAAAGACATCAGCCCTTCCAAGACCCCAACCCCAGCGAGTACAGCTTCAGGAGACCTGCCCACACAGCAAAGAAGTCAACAATTCCAAGACCCCAACCCCAGTGAGACCAGCTTCAGGAAAGACATCAGCCCTACCAGGACCCAAACTCCGTGTCAGCATCCCCAGCTTCAGCTGCAGGAAGGAAGGAGACCAGTGGAGACGGAAAGACCCCACCAGCACCCACTGAAAGAAGAGATGGGAAGAAGACAGAATAAGAGATCACTCAGCAATAGAAACACCAACATGACCCCACCAGAATCCAGGGATCCAACACCAGCAAGACCCGAAAAGCACTACATAGACGAAGAAGAAGAGACAGACCTTAAAAATTATTTCATGAAGATGATGGAGACCTTCAAAGAAGAAACGAGGAAATCCCTGAAAGAAATAGAAGAAAAAACAAACAAAAAAAATCCATGAAATGGGGGAAAAATTCAAGAAATAAACAAATCTCTCAAAGAATCTAAAGAGCACCAAGAAAGAACAACCAAAAAAATGAAGGAAACAACTCAAACAGTTGAAGGATTGAAAGCTGAAATAGAAATGATAAAGAAAACACAGAATGAAGGGATGCTGGAAATAGAAAAGCTGGGTAAACGATCAGGAACTACAGATGCAAGTATCACCAATAGAATACAAGAGATAGAAGAGAGAATCTCAGGTGTTGAAGACTCATTAGAGGATATAGAGTCGTCAACCAAAGAAAATCTCAAA